ATAACCCATCTAACTATATTGGTATGCCAATCATGTCATCGATGGTCGAACCATGAACCCGCAAACTACTGCTGTGAATGTCTTGTAAAATTAGAAGGTGAAGTTCAAGCATCTGGGGTTTCAAAAAGACCAACAAAAACGAAGAAGACAAAAGGCAAAGAAAAAGAAGAAGTAAAGGAGAGAGAAGAAAACGAAATAAAAGAAGAAGAGATATAAATTAAAGAAAAAGGAGACTAGATGAGAAATGAGGAGATAAAATCATAACCACGACTAACCGTCAAAAAAAATTCCAAACTCCATTCTTCAATCCAACACTAGGTTCTCTAAAAGCTCGGTATAATAATGCACTATCTAGAGCTCGCAATTGCACCAAGAGGTGCATTGGAGCTTTAAAAACACGCTTCCGATGTCTAATGAGAGAAAGAGTAGCACGTAATGAAGCCAATTTTGTTGGAAAGCAGATCAATATCTGTGCATTCCTTCATAACATACGCATTGATTTTAACGTATACGCCAATGTAGATTTGGTTGAAGAAGACAATGTCAACAATCCTAATTAAAATATAATACAACCAGAGCATTTATTAAATGATGAACAAAGGATCCGAAATAATATCTGTGGTGCTCACGTCCTGTTTGACGAGCCCACAAAGAACTTCTATCAGATTTGTTTATGACATTTTAGTTGCTTTTTCATGTTTGACGTTTTATGTCATTATTTTTACTTTTTGGTTATATGCAATGTTTTGGAGTGACAACCATCTGGTCTCTTCTTTTTCAATAACGTCACCGTTATTAATTAAGCTATGTTTTTTCTTTTGTAAACCTTTACAGGATTTTCTGGATGAAAAGAAGACACAAGTAGGTGGATCATTTGAACGCAGTATAAAAGGACCGCCGTTGCTATGCTGCAGACAGATCATTAAAAAACACTTCATCAATCAATTTCATTTTTATATATATTTCGATAATGTCATTCTTTTTTGTATTATATATATCAAATAAATTTTTAAAAAATATTTTTTTTTTAGTTTTTAATCAAAAAATTTAGTGGGACCAACCAACGGGACCACTAAATATTGGTGACCCCGACGTGATAGCATCCCGACGAAGGATAAAGGACATCCCGATGGAGGATAAAGGACATTCCGACGAAGGAACATCCCAGCAGAGGACAAACAACATCCCAGCAGAGAATAAAGGACATCCCGACGAAATATATTCCCGACGAAGAACAAAGGACATCCCGACGAAGGACAAAGGACATCCCGACGAAGAACGAAGGACATTTCCCCAAGCGGAACACTTTCAAGACCGACATAGAGCACAACTACAGCATAACAACGGCAAAGGAAGAGAAATTCTCACGGATCATCGCGTAGAGGTTTCTAAAAGGAATCGGATCAGTGAGCCATTTGATTTGTCCCTCGCATTTCATTGCACATAATTTTTCCTTTTTCTATTTATTGCCTAAATTATGGCTTATACAATGTCCGAACCAAATAACTCTACTGCTGAGGGTATCGATTCAATAGAAAATTTAAGAAATATCAAACTTCCAGCTTTCTGGTCATCCAAACCAGAACTTTGGTTTAAACAGCTTGAAAGTCAATTTTTTATTTATAACGTCAAAGCTGACAAAAGCAAATACCATGTCACTGTGGCACACTTACCGCCAGATATTTTCAGCGAGGTTTACGACGTAATTAGTAAACCTCCAGTTAATGATCTATATGATTTTTTAAAAGATACCATCCTCAGTAGGTTAACACTATCAGAGGAAGCACGGTTGAATAAATTATTGTCAAGCTCAGTTAGGTGACAAAAAACCTTCCGTATTTATAGGGAACTTATGCAAATCGCCGACGATAAAACGATCGATGAAAAATTATTAAAAAGTTATGGAGGAGACGGTTACCGGACGTAATTGAAATCGCCCTAACCTCGTCCAGTCAACAAGATATATCTCACTTGTTAACACTCGCGGATAAAATTTGGGAGACGCTTAAAAAAAATTCAAATTCTGTTCTCAAAATTCAAGATTCTTATAAACCAAGTGAAGTAGCGAATTTAAACAAAACTATAACTAATTTTATCGACCAATATCAAAATATTTTAGATAAACAAGCCGATTTTTGAAAAAGAGATTTCTTCTCTTAAGATTAATTTTGAAAAAGATATCTCTGCTCTTAAAGGTAATTTTTCACAAAATAATTTTTCATCAGACTGTTACCAAAATAATAAATGCAATTGTCAAAATTACAGAGGTAGGTCAAATAGCCGCGATAGAACAGGACACTCACATTACAATCGTAATAGGAGTTGCGACAAATCAAGAAATTTGTGTTATTTCCATAGCATGTTTGGTAACAATGCAAGAAAATGTAATGGTCCACCTTGTCTTCTTTCAGATATTTTCAACAAGAAAGATTCAAATTCAAAAAACTAAATAGATCAACCGTAAATAAAGTATTGTAGTGCCTACTGTTGCACTAATTACTACCTTTCACCTTAATCATAGTTTCCGCAAATTTATAACCTCCAATCTTTGTGGCAGTCGTGGATGGATAAATATTAAGCTCACTTCACCGTGGCTCCTTGGTTGCCGGGAGAGAGGATGTTGAAGAAAAAACAAAAAAATTTATTATGACATTTTTGATTTTACAATTATATATATGACATGTCATTAATTTCTATTTTACAATAATTATACTTCTGTAAATATATCTTTAAACTGCTTAAATATTTTATTGATGGGATAAACAAATAAAGTTCCCACAATATCGTTAACAGATGCTTTCAGAATTAATAAAACGTGTTGCAGATTGAATAATTATCAGTAATTAAATAAAGTAAAATACAGACCAGACTCTTAGACTCCAAATATGTAAAAATATACCATTTAAAAATTGAAAATTGGGACAATCTCCTATTAAACCGGAACTCGGCTGTTTTGAATGTTTAGATGACACAATAACAAATTTTTTCTAATATTATCACTCCAATTTTGAAAGCAATCCAATGGCTCATTAGCAGAATAAAAATATTTCAAAAATTCGTTACATATACATGATATTTAAATTTCAATTAATGTTTAAAACATTTTCTTAACAAATGTCCCGATTAATAATTTGTAGGTTTTTGATAAAATGAAACTAGATAACATTTCATTTGAAGCTAAAAAGGATTTACTGATTGCTAATATAGGAGAATGATATTTAAAAAAGCACAAACAAGCGAGAACGTATGGTGTATGCAGCAAGAAATAAAATGAGAAAACTCTCGCGTTTACTAATTCCATATCGCGCTCTAACCAATAATGAAAAAATTGGGTTAAAAGATATGATTCACCCCAAAAATTTTGATAACGTGATTCTAGTGTCTAGAAAAATTTCTGCATAGCTATGCACATGGGCACCTCGTTAAAATATGCGTGAAATGGATACGTAAGTACATATAATTTTAAAACAAAACAGGTTACAAAACAGGTTACAAAACAAAATCTGTAAATGATCAGAAAGAATGGATACAAAATAAATAATTTTTTTAAGAGTTGGTAGACTCTAGATGGAATATTGAATTAGGCTCTCTATCCAATAAAGATAATAGAAAAACAGTGGAATAAACCTATTTTGTTACCTCTTATCCAGAGATAAGGTACATAAAGATAGGAAACGCAGCGACCGCAGTAACGATGGCGTCATCTATGCGCGTCTCAGATGTTAACTAAAGGTACACGTCAGTTGTAGACAGACAATAGACGCGGACAGTTTGTAAATATAAATGTCAGTTAGTTGTATGTATATCGTATAATCCTGAATTTGAATTTTAAATTTTGAGTTCACGATTGTGTTATCCTCTAGATGAACTAAGCGGAATGGTTGTAGCTGTTTTTTGTGAAATTTGAGGACAATAAATATATTTTGTAATATTACAACAAGTTGGAGAACGTATTGCATTAGTAACAACCCCAATGTGGTGTTCTTTAATTAACCAAAGTAAGATCTAGTCATGTAAGTTACACAAGTAGTAGCCAAATTTTGTCACAAAGTAGGTATTTATTTACTATTTACTGTTTTAGAGCAAGAAAATGGCTTCAAAACGTTAGAAAGAAGATTTGATATAGCAAGAAAAATATCTGAATTCTCATTATTGAGTTTGCACTCAATACTTTTAAATAAGACACCATTGACCATTCGTTTGGAAAATAAGAAAAATGTTAATGTTACCAATAACGATAAAAAATTAAAACATATTTGTCATGAATAGATTTACAATAATTAATCGATAATAGGCTGTAAGTGTAGTATTCTTTTTAATAAATAATTTTTCGTAATTACATTGTTTAAATTTATTTACCAAAACGTGAGAGTGCAGTCGATATTTATACAACCTTAATTATCAGATTTTTAAATTTCCCGCTGCAATATTTGTTTGATATCGATGACAGCGCCACATAGTGGGTCAGATGTTAACTGCGTTTAAGCTGGTCGTTATTAAGCATTGGCTTCTTATGAGCGTTTCCTATCTTTATCTCCCTTATCTCTGCTCTTATCAGTAATATAAAAACATTTAGGGAAGGAGTTATTAAATGAGTGTCGACAACAATTGGTTACAAATGAGAGGGACGAAAAGGCCTACAAGTTGCTCATACAATGTGCTTTGGCATTATTAATTCTTTTTAATCGAAGAAGAATTGGGAATGTGCAATATCTAAAAATTCATAAATCATAAACGAACCATTATGAAAGATTTTTAAAATGCAAAAACATTGAGGATGAAATATAAACGAGTGATTAACAGTGGTAAAGGCAATAGAGCAGTGATCATTTTAGTAGCAGAGTTGTTACAAAAACTTGTAGATTGTAGAAGTTACGGCTAATGTACATACCACCAGAAAATCAATACGTTTTCCCAATACCTGGCAGCATCGTAAAATGGGGCAATGATGATGTAGTGAATAAAAACTTTTTGTAAAAGAATGAAACTGGAAAACCAAGATGCCATTACTAGTAACAAAGTAAGTAAGCAAATAGCAGTGACAGTAACAGAGATGCAAATACTTTTGGTATCACTATATAAATTGAAACATATTAGTTGGAACTTTTATTGTCTACTTATTTCTATCTCAAAAAACAAGCATCACTATAACAACTACTTATCTTAAAAATGTACAGTGTGATGAAAATAAATAATTAATTATCACACCATCCCTCTTTACAAAACAAAACTAAACAATTAAATATTTAAACTCTGTAACAAAATGTACTGAACGATTATTTTTGCTTCCTTCTACTTTTTGTTTTGTAATATTTTCATTTCTTGTTAATTTTTTCAATTATCTTTTTGTTTTATAAAATAAGCTGGTTTGAGTATGTCTCTTGAAACAGTAACGCGTTTATTTCTTACCAATATGTCAAAAAATTTGCCCTTTGAAGAAATAAGAAATTTTGTGGGCGTTTCTGAGGAAATTATTAAATTGTTTCCAGGAGAAATCATGGAAACATACTATATTCCATATTCCGGGAAAAATTATGGTCCAGATTCGTAAATGTTAAGGCAGCTCTTCAATTAGCCCAACAGAATAAGGCTATTAATCAGGTTTTGGTTAATCCAGTAATCCACATAGATGAAGGAATTAAAAATGATTTGATTTTTCTAAAATCTGCTATAGAACCGTACCATAAAATGCTGTCCGCAAGGACAGATAAGACTGAACCAATAGAGAAAATATTTGAAGATTTTCCTTGTCTAAAAAAACATTATAGAGCAGAGCTAGTAAGTTTATAATATCTTACTTTCTTGTTTTACGTTAAAATTCTCAGGTTGTTAAATTGAATGGTAAAATGCCTAAGAAATATATTTATTATTTGACATTGTTTCTTAAAAGCATTTTTCCATCATTATTTAATGATTTATAAGGATTTTGGAATTTATTCAGTTATAATAAATATTTTTTCAGTTTGAATCAGACTTTAATATCACCTACCCAGAACAAATAGATATTATTTATAATGAGTGGCCAAAAGTTTCAGAAGCTATTCTAAAAGAAGCTGATGACAGAAAAATAAGTTGTCCAGTTGAAACAACCCTTGGTAAGTAGTGCGTTTAACACAGCTTTAACTTAATCTTGACCGGAAGAGCTCTCCAGTTTGGGCACAGCCAGAAGTTATTCTGTAACGTTCCTATTTTGTATTAAGACATGTTTCTATTTTGATACATTATTGTATCACCGTTTCCACTTTCTACCCCTATGTTTATGCTCAGTATAATAACTTTAGTATTTTAATACCATTTACCTTTTCTCTCTCCTTATAAGCGTTTTCGAGTGTATTATGTTAGGAACTAATCATTACATGGGTTTAGTGCCATTCTACCTCGTAAACTCTATTGTCTGCACTTTTTACGGTCTGATTCGTTGCCACCCTGTATAAATGAGTGTGTGCCTATGTGTTCTCAGTTCTTTTCTCTAGTTACACTCGGTCTTTACCCTTTCTTTCCCTTATTTTGACGACATGCCCTTGATATTTATAATTTTCTGTTCCTAAAAATCAAGTTAAAAGCCAGAATTATCCGTACCTCGTTCTTTATTCGTGCTTTTCAGTTTTCATTCGGTACCCATATAGTTAAATATACTAGCCTTCCTTGTTCTTGTTTTAAGGTTCAATTTGATCAAAATTCATTTTTATTCCCTAATTGTTAGCCCCGGCTAGACTATGTCGCTTTTAATCTTCCAAATTCCTAGTTTCTCGTGTTATTGTGCATGAATACCCTATTAATTCGTTTCGTGCATACTTTTCTCTTGCTTCCAGACTTTTTACTCGTTTATTATATGTACATATAGTGTTTACATATTGAATTTTATTCATATTCGTAAAATTCTTGATATGGTTTGTTTTGACAGTATTTCAGACATTTGACTTATGTTTTATCTGAACTGTCAACGTAAAGTCGCGCATGACAGATGTGAGTTCGGTTGACTATGGCTACGTTCAGCAGAAAAAAAAAGATCGGGACCTGTTTCAGATTAATTTGCAACAGTTTTATAGTCTGCTGAACAGTATTTTTTTGCGTTTTGAGCAAGAAACTGTAGTAACATTTGACATTTATTAAAGTCAAAGTCTTGTAACAAATCTCCGAACAATGGATGGTAATATTTTAATGGTCGCCCTTGACGATGATAATATTGACTTAAATATTATTGTAAAATTGACGGAAGAATTAGTACAACCCATAAATAGTTTAAATATTAAAGAACGAAAGAAAAAGCCGCGAAACGACGATTATTTTGAAGTCACCATTCCAAAATACAATGACAATTTATTTAAGGAACATTTTAGAATGTCCAGAAGTAGTTTTGAGGTAAATACTGTACATTACATATTGCAAGAGTTTATAATATATATAAATGTTTGTGTAGGAATTGCTGACAGTTATTGGCAATACTCTGGTCAATGATATAATACTGTCAGTTGAATTGCAGAAAAAAGTACTATTTACTCTATGGACCTTAGCTAAACCAGAAAGCTTTCTTGCTGTAGGTGATAGATTTGGTTTGGCAAAAAGCAGTGGACATGCAGTATTTAAACAAATTGTCACCGTTCTAGCAGATTTATTGCCTATGTATATATACTGGCCTGCTTTAGATAACTATGCTAGGGAAGCTCGAGTAAGTACTTATATATAAGTTTAGTAAAAATTAATCATAATGTAATAATTTGTTATTTTAGTATTTTGAAATACGGTCAGGTGGATTCCCAGGTATAATAGGAGCTGTTGATGGGTGCCACATACCTTGTAAACAACCCATTGGCAATGCTAATGACTTTTTCAACCGTAAGGGATTTCATTCAATCATTTTGCAAGGTAAGAACTGTTTCTATTACTTACGTGATTTATTAAATAAAACTTAAAAAATACCATTCTATTAAATTTTTTAATAATTTTTAGGTACTTGTGACCACAAGGGTCGCTTTATTGATGTTTTTATAGGAATGCCAGGGCGCATGCATGATGCACGTGTATTAAGGAACAGTCCTCTATTTACACTGTTAACTGCAGCAGACCATCCATCAAACTATCATGTGATTGGTGATTCTGCATACCCACTCCTAAAAACTTTAATGACACCATTTCGTGACAATGGACATTTAACAAATGCTGAAAAAACTTATAATATTAAACTGTGTTCTGTCAGATCAATTATCGAACGAACGTTTGGTGCATTGAAAGGAAAATTTCGGCGCCTTAAATTTTTAGATATGACTGACTTGCAGTTAGCAAATAAAGTAATAGGTGCAGCCTGTGTTCTTCATAATTTCATGATTGATCATGGTGGACTTAATGTACAAGGTTTTGAAGAACTGAATGTGGTGAATGAATATAATTTTATAAATAACGGCCCTGTTGTAAATGAGGCCGTAGATAAACGAAATACTATTGTAGCATTATTTCAATAAAATTTAACAAACACATTCTATTACCTTTATTAACAAAATAAAAAAAAAACGAACATTTTAATAACAAAAATCAAATCCAAACACTTAAATAAACAAATTTTAAAGTAAATACATATTGGACATGCAGGGTGTACCAATAAAAATTGCCAGGCCGGATATTTTGGTAAGTAATAGAGATATTTTAATTCCGTAAAAGCCAGTTCACAGATCGCTAAGAAAGCTTTAGTTTTAGATATAAATTAATTTTAAATAGATCAATATGTAGATGGCGCTGCGCTCATTTTTTTTTTTGATGGGAGGATCTTTCTTATATAGCACATCTTGTAAAAAATGCATTTTAAGGCAGATTTTGTTCTATAAACTAATTCGATAAATTAGCCATTTTTGATCACTCAAAACAGTTTCATCCTATTTTTCGGCATTAATCATTGGATTTTAAGAAAATGCTAAAACAGGTCTATTTTTATTCTAAATTGAACACAGTTTTACAATACAGACATCTGTCATATATCAACCCCCTCCCTTCCACTTCTCCAATCCCTTAATTTTAAATAAGGAATGTACCATGTGCCGTACATTATTGAAAAGGTAATTTTATGGGGAAGTCAGAAATATTACTGCTTATTGCGATACTTTTAATTTTAGCGCCTTCTATCGGAACAAAAAACCTGTAACGTATTATAAAGTATAACACTTCATTTGAAAGCTAATTCAACACACCACATAACATTAATATAAATATTTCCATATTGCACTTGTAATAAAATAAAGTTAGCAATAATGTGTGTAAGTGCAATGTGGATAATATTTATATTAGTGTTATGTGATGCATTGAATTAGTAATTAAATTAGCTTTTAAATTAAGTGTCATACTTTATAATACTTTACAGGTTTTTTTTATCCCAATAGAGGGCGCTAAAATTAAAAGTATCGCAATGTCATATTTCTAAATTTCCCATAAAATTACCTTTTTGATGATGTACTACACATTGTAGTGTCACACTCTATAATACGTAAGTTGAAATACTGAAAGACAGGATGAAACTGTTTTGAGTGACCCACTCTGTATATCAAAAATGGCTAGATTTATTAAATTAGTTCATAGAACATAATCTGCTTAAAAATGCATTTGTTACCAGATGCATCATATAAGATCCTCCCAGCGAAAAAAAAAAAATATTGACCACATCGCCATCTACATATTGGTCTATTTAAAATTAATTTATATCTAAAATTGAAGCTCTCTTAGTGCTCTGTGAACTGACTTTTACAGAATTAAAATATCTCTATTACTTACCAAAATATCCAGCCTGGGAGTTTTTATTGGTACACCCTGTATATCTGGATGGGCTAAAAATAACACTTTTTTTTATTGTCAACTTAGAGAAAATGTTATTCTTCTTAAGTTTGTTTTGCTTGTTTCAAAAATAATACTAACAGAATTTGAATATCTTTTTGCTTTAGTAAAATAATGACAAAACATTATTTTTGATTTATTTACATGTTTGTCATTATTTCACTAAAGCAAAGATAGCCAACTTCTGTTTGGATTATTAGTTTTGAAACAAGAAAACCTTTCATGAATAATATTTTTTTGAAAAGGTGAAAGTAAAGTTTTTACTCGTCTTTTACAGTTATCCAAAAAAAAACTTATTTTCACCCTGTTGAAAAAAAAAATGTTATTCTTTATAAAAGTTTTTGTTTGTTTCAAAACTAATATTTATCCAAACAAAAGTTGAATATCACTTTTCTTCAGTGAAATAATGACAAAAATCTGATAAAAAAAACATTTTGTTATTATTTCACTAAAGCAAAGAAATATTCAACTTCTGTTTGAATTTTTTTCGAGACAAGTGATAATTTATGAAGAATACCATTTTTTTACAGTTGAAAATAAAGTTTTTCCTGTTTTACAGTTCATGGAGATATTTTTATTAACCAAAACAAACCTATTTGTTAACTAATTTCATTAATATCTCATTTCTTTCTTTTTGTATGCGATTATTTTCCTCCACACTTTCTCGCAACTTTTTTAATTCTTCCACCTTTGTTTCATCTAAAGTTTTCAATTTTTGTCGCATGGAATACACTTCTCGACTTTTGAGGGCTTTTTTTGTTTTTGGTGTTTGAGTTACACATCTAGACATCGATGATGTACCTGGAGTGACTTCTCTTGGCAAGAGATTATGATTATGAGAATTTAAGTTTTCTTGCTGTACGCAAGATGTATTACTGATACTACTTCGAGTACTACATTGTGCCTGTTGAGAAGACACACAAAATGTATTATTAAATAGAGCCTGTTGAGAAGGTAGTAAAACAGGTGAAGATGCCAACGTTTCTCCAAAATTAACTGTTTTATCGTCCAAAAATATTTCTTCCATCATTTCAAAATAATCCCAACTAATCCGACTAGCACCCGTTTTTTGTTGGTTATCTTTTATGGTCCTGTACCTTTTTTTCATATTTCTCATCTTCCTATCTAAAATATCTTCATTCACACCTTTGTACCCTTTCTCCAAAAATTTGTTTTTCATATCTCTCCAAATACTTTTTTTTTAATTTTAGGGTCTCGAAACTGGAGTTTTCGTTCCATGTAGAGCTGAAGCACTAATTTGGTTGTTTGCTTTGTCCACTCAAAATG